ATATCTGCCCCTCAAATCCGAAGCTTGTAGAGGGTTGAGATTTGGAAAAAGAGAAGAGAGAATGAAAAATAATGATGAAAGCGGGATTATAAAATAAAATAAAATAAAATAGAAGGAGCAAAGCCAAGAAGATGGCGTGAAAGTCCGAAAAAAGGATATGACCCATCGAAAAAGTTAGCCAAAAAAAGAAGAAGAAGAAGAATTGAGTGATGTGGAGACAGAAAGAAAATATCAAACTTGGCCAAGAAAAAAATTAGCTAGAGAAAGAACACAAAAAATTGGGTCTGATGTGAAACCTCAAAGAGAAACTGAAATATCAACAAAGGAGAGAAAGTGAACCCTCATGTTGGGTTGTTGTGGTGCAAAGAAGCGATGGCAACACAGAGAAAAAGGACCAGCAGTTGTGCAAAGGTGCTCTCAGGAAGATTACGATAGATGGCTTGGATACGAGCGATCGATGGTTTCTAGGCAGGGGCAAAGAATCAATGAACACAGTGGCTGGTCAACAGCAGTGGTGCTAGTGTAGAGCCTCCTGCGTTTGTTGGAGATGTCGTGGGTTGTCCAAAGACATGATGGCTAGGTGAGCATTGACGAGGCTCACGGAGGAAATAAACGGCTCAGTGAGCAGTGACGAGGCTCACGAAGGAACTGGAGGAAATAAACGGCTCAGTGAGCAGTGACGAGGCTCACAAAGGAACCGCAATGAAGACGGCGTGTCTGCAGCAAGCGTAGACGACTTAAAAAAATGATGGGTAGGCTCAATGAAGGCCGAAGGTGGCGTGGTTGTGGCAAGCGTAGTAGACATGAAAACATGGGCTCAATATCTGATTGCAACAGAGAGCATGACTAGACATGGCTCAATATGATTTGTATAGAGAGCAGTACTTGTATGAAAAACATAAGGAAATTGCAGCGCCAAAGAAGGGTGCGACTGTTGGTTTAGTTAGATGTAGGAATTGTGGGATGGTATGGCTTTGGTAGCGGGAATAAAATATTGATTATTGAGGAGAGGGTGAACAAGACGACTGTACAAGATGAATACCCATTATGGGTGAGGGATGAAAAGCGCCAACGACTCTCAATTTGGCAGAGAATTTCAAAGATTAGCAACTAGGGTTGTGAAACATCGGATTGTGAAGAAAATAAGGTTTGTAAAAAGTTTTAAGAGACGCCCTAGAATCGGTGCTCTGATACCATGTGAAATTAGAGATTTTGTTAAGAATAATAATTCTCAGGTTCGTTGTTGATAGAGCCAAAAGGCTAAGTATTTATGGAGATATTACAAAGCTTAACTAGGAAAACTAGGTTACTTGGAGACTACTCCAAATCAATTACGATCAACTAATAAAAGGAAACTAAATAACAATTTAACAACGTTCCTAATTTCCAACAGTTCCTGCGTTCTGGCAAATCAAGCAAAAATACAAAGAAGAAGAAGAAGAAGCCAGAAGAACAGATCCCATCAATTTCAGGTATCTCCATGAACATTTGCCGGACATAATTTGCAAAGCAGGTCCTCCTAGCGTGCTGCAAAGCAAGCCCTATATAAATCGTATAGCCGCACGGCTATACTTACCTGGACAAGTCACGAGGCAGGTCCTCTTTTTTTAATATAAATAGTATAGCCGGCCGGCTATACACGGTTTTTTTATTTTTTAAAACAGTATAGCCGTGCGGCGGTACGTTTTTAAACATAGTAAAGCCGTGCTTTTTTATTTTTATTTTTTGGGTATAAAAAGTATAGCCGGGAGTACTCTATTTTTTTTTCTTTTTTCTATTTAAAATAAATAAATAGTATAGTTGATCCGCTATACTATTTATATATATACTAGGATCCTTTTTTTCTTTTAAATATTTTCCCCAATTTTCGTTTATTTATAAGAGTAGTTTAGAGCATTATCCATTACTATTAGGAAATTACCCATGTCTCTGTTGTTCTCTTTTCATTTGTTACTTTTCTAGAATTATTACCTATACAAATAATTTACCATTTTTCATGTTAACACACATATTTTTTACAAATTTTTTAATAATATACACAAAATTCACGTATTATACACATAATTTTCACATATTATTGAATAAAAATAATATATATTTAAAAAATTAAATATATTATTTTAAAATATTATATAGTGACCGAACTTTTCAGTTGTAACTTGCCAAATTTTTTAATGATTACTAAACAATTTATTATGCAACTAAATTTTACTAGTTTGTAGAGTTGAAATAGTACAAAATTAATTATATAAATATGTATTGAAAAATTATTCAAGATTTCCATGTCTTTATTCAAAATTATCTATTTTTCTCAATATTTTCATAGTTTTGGACCCTCAATATTTTTGTCCATACTTATCTTAAATAAATTACATTAAATATTAATTATTAACTTAAATAATTAGAGGACTATTCTAAACAAATAGGGTTTTGCTTGGTACTTAAGTAAGTAAAGAATTCAACCAATGTTTTGTATATATTAAAAAAAGTATTTAATTTTAGTATTTAATTTATTTTCTATATCTTTATTTACAATTATTTTCAAAAAATGATACTTATTGATTAAGTACTTACATGTTTATATTTACTCCTTGGTCCTTTTAATAGTTATTTATTATTATTATTATTATTTTACAACAGAAACTTGTACCCGACTAGATGGGTTTAAAATGGGCTAATTATGAGTACAACACCCAACCACAAACCCCAATTATTGGGCAAACAAAGCACAACAAAAATTTCATCAAAGATTGGCTCCATTTCCTTGAGCCAATTTTACAGATTAAACATGACCTTAATGGCATTGGCTCCACCAGCACTGGTTTCAAATGCTTTTTCCACTTCCTTTTGAGAGAATCCAAAACGATGTGTTATCAGGGGCTTCACATCAACCTTACTACTTCTCAACAATTCGAGGCACAAGGGCCATGTGTTCTTGTATCGGAAAATTCCAATCACATCGACCTCTCTGTATTAAATCACGAAATTTTAAATAATAAGAATAATGCGTATCACAAGTGAGTCATGTCTCATGCCTCTATTAGAGATGTGACACCAAATACGATACAAATAGTTTTACAAACTGAACAAATGAATAAATCAATTTATACCTGGCGGCAGCTGAAGTGAGTGGGAGAGTCAGCTCTCTCTGGCCCATTCCCACAAGGCAAACTTTGCCACCGGAACCAGTAGCACTCAAAGCTGTTGCCATGGTTTTATTAAACCCTGCACAATCGAAGCTTACATCCACTCGAGTTCCCATAGCTTCTTTTATTTTAACAACTTCTTCAGCAACCTCCTTCAAAATAATTTAGATAAACTCATTAAAAAAAGGGCTGATGTCACCCTACAAATCCCGAACATGTGACAGCAGCATGTACCTCAATATTTGTGGAAACTTTGACAATCTCATGTGCACCAAGAGCCTTTGCAACGGATAAACGGTGGTCATTCACATCCGCCACGACAATTCTAGGTGCTTCGAAGGCACAAGCAGCCAACAATGTAACAAGTCCTATAGGTCCTGCTCCCATGACCAAAACATTTGTTTCTGGACCGACATTAGCCCGACGACAAGCATGAACACCAACACTTAAGGGCTCACACATTGCCCCTTCCTCCAAGCTCACATTGTTTGGTAGTTTAAAACACAGGTCTCCAGGATGGACAACCTGTGAAATAAAATATAAGAAAACATCATGTATCTCAGACAGCCTCAAATTTGAATTGCCCACTAAAAAAACTATAGTATCTCAAAGTGAGTGTTGTTATTTGTACTATTTCAACTCACAGGACCAGTCCAATTCAATTGGACAATAGTTAAATTTTAGACCAAGACACAAATCTTGCACAAAAATCCAGAATAGCCCATATTCAAAGAAGTCACAATTAAAATAAACTCAAAGTCCAGTCATGCTCTAGTCAGCCTTATCCAATACTAAAAGTTCCACTTGTGCCAAGCTTACAACGCTCCACGTGTCATCTTGTGCTAGTTACAACCGGCATATTATACTACGTGGATACCTGATTTGCCAGGCAACCATGAGTTGGAGGGGACCCGAAAAACTTCATCTCAGGGCATAGATTATATCGGCCTTGTTTGCATAGCTCACATCGCTTGCAATTGATGCCGGGCTCTAGTGCCACGCGGTCACCAGGCACCAGATGCTTCACCTCACTCCCAACTTCCTCTACGAACCCAGCGCACTCATGCCCGATTACCATTGGCTCTTTCACCACAAAATCTGCACATCTCATGTTCTGAAAATAATAACAAACAACCACAATCAAAACAGGCCATTTACCAATTAATTTAAAGTATATATTGTTTAACAATCAACACACATCAAATATCGAATTCTCCGTGAAAACGTGAGTTAGGTTAGTTGATTAGAGCATTGTGCCCTGCCTTTGCTTTATCATGAATATAATAAAGACCCAAGAAGGGAAAAGAGGGGGTGACCTTGAAGTGGTGAACATCACTGCCACATATGCCAACAGCCTTGAGTCGAATTAAAACATCACGGGGTCCTAAAGAAATACCAAGAAAACAAGGAACACAGGAAGTCAATTAGGCAAAAAGGATCACAAATAATAATTTGACCTGAAAAGTGAAAGAAGTTGAGTTAAAAAAAACAGTGATCCAGAAAAAGAACAAATTGGTACCGAGATTAGGGAGCTTGAAAGGTTGGATTTTGAGGGTGTTAACACCAAGAAGCCAAGCAGCCATGTTCTCTTGTTCACAACCATCTCTGCTGGCTTCCTCAAAACCATCACCTCCATCAGGCTTTCCTCCCTTACCCATTCGTAATTTGAGTTTTTTTTTTTTTTGGGTGCTTTGGATTTATGCCGGCCTTTATGAAGCCTGTGTTGAGAGATGTAGATGGAGAAATGTGATGGCCTGCCACCTTCTTAAATCTATATGATGACGTGGGGGTCTCATCTTTTGATTGCACGCCTTATTTTTTTAGAAAAAAAATTTAGACTAAGCACACCTTAATTTTTTTAGGAAAAAAATTTGGACTAAGCACACCTTAATTTTTTTAGAAAAAAAATTTGGACTAAGCACACCTGATTTTTTTAGAAAAAAAAATTTAGACTAAACACCTTATTTTTTCAGAAAAAAATAAAATTTAGAGTAAGCACACCTTATTTTATATACCAGAATAATCCAGCATTTAACGGTATTTGCCTACGTATGTCGGTGGCTAGTATTCATCTCATGCAAGGTTTTCCTTGCCACATTCAACCGTTATCCATTACATCACTGTTGGCTAGATTGTTCCAAGCACACATTGGCTTCAGGAATTTTCATGTTTATCAAATACATAATTTAATATATTTACACGTATTATAATTTGTATGAATTCAATACATCATATTTAGAATGACGTATGTTGTATTGACTAACATAAAGAATAGTTACCAATATTTTTAGGACAAATAAGGTAGACAAATTTGGTAATTTCAGATTTAATTCCACCAAACAAATACCCTCTACATATATGGCAGTCCATTTACACAGCAACCAAAACCCATCAAGACAGAGCCTCTCAATATTCTGTCAGATAACATAACATAAACTTTTGTGTGTTTTTTTTTCTTCTTCAGGTTTTTCAATGGAAGGAAAAGCTGCAACGCGTTTGAGATTGGTGCTTGCTTTGGTCCTCGTGACATTGTTGGCTTCAAACCAACACGTTGGTGTTGCGCCCACTGTTTTCACTCCAAGCCCAGCCCCTTGTAGTAGTTGATTAAAGGCAAAAAGTCACTTTTGATCCCTGTGATTTGTCATTTTTATTATTTTGGTCCATATCGTTTCAATTTGGTCAATTTTGCCCATGTAGTTTTCAAGTTAAGCAATTTAAGAACAATTCTCAATTTCTGTCAAATTTATTTAACTTCCGTTAATTGGAGAAGGGCAATTTCGTCAAATTATTAAAAAAATTAATTCCTTTAAAAAGTAAACAATACAAAATGAAATTTTAATAATAAAAATAATCCTTAAAATAATAAAACATTAATATTCTTTGAAAAAAACTAATATTTTTAAAACATAATTATAAACAATAATAAAAACCAAAGCCTTTTCTCAACCAATCATCCTCTCTCTCTCTCTCTCTCAGCCAGAAAACCACATAACCCAGAAAAACGAATTAAACCAGAAAATCCAGAAAAAACGAATTAAACCAGAAAACCCAGAAAACTTAATTAATCAAACCCAGAAAAACGAATTAATTTAATTAATTAATTAATGAAACCCAGAAAAGAAAAAAAATCCAGCTTGGGTTTGATTTCGAGGAGTTGAAGAAGAATGGCTAATGGGGTTTGAAAAAGGAATGCACAGCTTTGATCTCTTTCTCCATTTCTCCCCAATCCAATTTTGACCCCACTCTCCCTTTCTCCCTTCCTTAACCCATCCTCCATCCTCTGTCCCGTCAGCCTCCAGCCATTGCCTCCCAAACAATTGCGCCCCACCTCAAGATCTCCTCGGCTCAACCCCAGAAAACAAATGCTGGATCGCTCCTCACCTCTGTGCGACTTCTCGGAGGCGAAATTGTGAATTAAGAGATGTGAATGTCGTCGACCACCAGAACATCCGACGGGTCGAACTCGGTGGGTCCCACACCCCCACCCACCCAATCCCACCCTGACGCACCTCTCGTCTCTCTCTTTCCCACCCCCGACGCACCTCCATCCCCAATCTGCCCCCAGATTTGGAACCGAACTTAAAATGATAATTACAACTGGATTTTAACTTGAAATCCAAATTTAAAACAAAAACAAAAGAAATTGATCAACTCCGGTAAATTGAAGCGTTTTTTGGATGAGAGTTTGGGAGAAAGATTGGATGGGTTGGTGGGGGTGTGGGAGGGGGCTGTCGTGGCTAGAAGAAGAGTTTGGGTTTATTTTTATTTTATTAATTTAAAATGGTTTTTTCATTACCTTTGTTTTTGGACCAAAATGCCCCTCAGCAACTAACGCCAGTGGCTCTATTTTAACAGAAATTTAGGAGTGATATAATCATAAACCTAAACACTTATTTATACATAATTATATATGTATGCGGGCCTAATGGGCCGGGGGCCGGGCCTATGGGCCGGGCCGGGCTTCAGACACCCAAGTTATTGAAAACTACATGGACAAAATTGATCAAATTGAAACGACAGGGACAAAAATGGTAAAAGTGACAAATTACAGGGACCAAAAATGACTTTTTGCCTTGATTAAATTTAATAGAAGTCTCCACTATCTTGACAGGAAAAAAAGAAAAAAAAGAAAAGAGTCTATAAAAAAGGGCCACGGTAAAAGTCTGCTTTGGGATAATGATGTCCCCAATGTCGTTTAGGGACAGGGCTCGTCAATGGGCCGGGCCGGGCTTCAGACACCCAAGTTCAAGCCTAGCCCGGCCCAAGACGGGCCGGGCCATCTCAAAGCCCATAACGGGCCGGGCCGGGCTTTTTTCCAATGGGCCGGGCGGGCCCCCATCGGCCCATGAGCCCGCGGGCCAAATGATGAGGCCTATTTAGGGACAACGAAACACATGAAAGTCAATAATGTAAGTCGATAAGGAATTTGTAATTCAAGTGGAACAATCCTTGCACTTGTGTTCAAATTGTCCGTTACTAATATCGTTTGGATAAATAAAAAAAATTGCGAGAGTCGACAACATAATAAAACATCATATTTATATAAATAACTAGGCAACATGCGTGCTGACCCTTTTATCTTTGACTTTGTATTTCTCAAACTTCCTTTGGAGTAGCCAAGGGGTCAAAAGCCCCACCAAAATTGGCTTCAGGAGAAATTGGTATGTATCAAATACATTAATGTAGTTTGACCTAAAGACAGATTTTCTTGTACAACTTTAGCAATTGCAATAATTTTAAATTGAAGTCTATATTTGTATTCTCTTAACTAGACTGGAAAGAAGATTTGGGTTGAGTGGGGAAAACTCCTACGACTGTAAAGAAGAGGGCCATGCCCATGGGTTTTCCTACGACTGTAAAGAAGAGGGCCATGCCCATGGGTTTATAAAGAACCCAAACATCACGTTTGAAACAATGTGGCTGTTTACAATGGATGCGATATAATTACATCCGATATTCTCTAAATACCAAGCGGTGCGTTTTGTTTGAATTGCACAAAGTTGCAATACTTGGCTAAAACACGACACTTGTACCAAATTAAATATTATAATATTAAATTTCCAACAATGAAGCCTTTTCTTTTTAGCACATTTTCATTTGCTTTGATTTATGTCTGGATCGAATTCCTTAGCTGCTTAATTAGTTCTCTACTTGTTTCTCTGGACAAGCAAACAAACTTGTATCCGAAGTATGTAATAATTCATTGTCCATCTATTCAATTCTTTATTTTACTATAGTCTTCATGGATAAAAACTTCTTTACTCTATTTGACAGGACCCGACCCAAATTCCACTTTAGAATTCGAGCTGAACCGTGTGCGTGTTCGACACTTAATAGTTACAAATTAATTAGGGATCAGGTTGTTACACTACTCATGCGAGTGACTGTTACATTGAAATGTATTTGGTCTTCTAGGGTTATTAGTAGAGATATAAGATGTGCGATATCGCCGATGTGTCCTCTTATACCTGGATTAACCCTTTGCGGTTACTGTGCATCCATCTTTATATATTAACCCCTTATGGGTATTTGGTCTTTGTACCCAATTATTGAATACAATTATCGCTAATTTAAAAATAAAATATAAAAAAATGTATTTTTTTTAAAAAAAACTTAAAAAAAAACTGCTCTACTCAAAATTGTTCTATATTTTCTTTACTTTTCAGGCCACCTCTGAGAAAATGCCCCATAAGGGACTATATCTATACACATGTGTTGAATTTGAATGGAACATTTTATTTATATGATCAAGTGTGACTTGCGTGTGATAAGCTAAAAATAATAATTAATTGTTATATACACCATGTATTTCTTAACTGCAATAGGATGGGATATAGATAATCTAACTAGGGTTCCTGCCTTTAGTTGCGTCTTTCTACCTTCAATAAGCCTCGTGATGGTATTAGGTGTTTTCTTGGTGAAGGTTTGATTGTATTTGTGTACTTTGGGATCACATAAGAACATGTTCTTTTTATTTTCGGTCAATCTCCTTATTCCTTTCAATAGTTGTTTTTTTTACAACAGAAACTTGTACCCGACTAGATGGGTTTAAAATGGGCTAATTATATGTACAACACCCAACCAAAAAAACCCCAATTATTGGGCAAACAAAGCACAACAAAAATTTCATCAAAGATTGGCTCCATTTCCTTGAGCCAATTTTACAGATTAAACATGACCTTAATGGCATTGGCTCCACCAGCACTGGTTTCAAATGCTTTTTCCACTTCCTTTTGAGAGAATCCAAAACGATGTGTTATCAGGGGCTTCACATCAACCTTACCACTTCTCAACAATTCGAGGCACAAGGGCCATGTGTTTTTGTATCGGAAAATTCCAATCACATCCACCTCTCTGTATTAAAATCATGAAATCATAAATAATGTAAATAATGCGTGTCACAAGTGAGTAATGTCTCATTCCTCTACTAGATATGTGACACCAAATACGATACAAATAGTTTTACAAACTGAACAAATGAATTAATCAATTTATACCTGGCAGTAGCTGGAGTGAGTGGGAGAGTCAGCTCTCTCTGGCCCATTCCCACAAGGCAAACTTTGCCACCGGAACCAGTAGCACTCAGAGCTGTCGCCATGGTTTTATTAAACCCTGCACAATCGAAGCTTACATCCACTCGAGTTCCCATAGCTTCTTTTATCTTAGCCACTTCTTCAGCAACCTCCTTCAAAATAATTTACATAAACTCATTAAAAAAAGGGTTAATGTCACCTTACAAACCCCGAACATGTAACAGCATCAGGTACCTCGATATTTGTGGAAACTTTGACGATCTCATGTGCACCAAGAGCCTTTGCAACGGATAAACGGTGGTCATTCACATCCGCCACGACAATTCTAGATGCTTCAAAGGCACGAGCAGCCAACAGTGTAACAAGTCCTATAGGTCCTGCTCCCATGACCAAAACATTTGATTCTGGACCGACATTAGCCCGACGACAAGCATGAACACCAACACTTAAGGGCTCACACATTGCCCCCTCCTCCAAGCTCACATTGTTTGGTAGTTTAAAACACAGGTCTCCAGGATGGACAACCTGTAAAATAAAATAACTCAAAAAGTCCAGTCATGCTCTAGTCAGCCTTATCCAATACTAAAAGTTCAATTCAAGACTCCACGTGTCATCGTATGCTAGTTACAACTGGCATATAATATGCAGCAAATACGTGGATACCTGATTTGCCAGGCAACCATGAGTTGGAGGGGACCCGAAAAACTTCATCTCAGGGCATAGATTATATCGGCCTTGTTTGCATAGCTCACATCGCTTGCAATTGATGCCGGGCTCTAGTGCCACGCGGTCACCAGGCACCAGATGCTTCACCTCACTCCCAACTTCCTCAACGATCCCAGCACACTCATGCCCAATTACCATTGGCTCTTTCACCACAAAATCTGCACATCTCATGTTCTGAAATAGGAACAAACAACAATCAAAACAGTACATATTTACCAATTTAATTAGATATAATGGAGACGTGGGTTGGGTTATGTCAATTGACCAAGGCAGTGTGCCCAGGATCCAGAAAAAGAACAAATTGGTACCGAGATTAGGGAGCTTGAAAGGTTGGATTTTGAGGGTGTTAACACCAAGAAGCCAAGCAGCCATGTTCTCTTGTTCAACACCATCTCTGCTTGCATCTCCAAAGCCATCACCTCCATCAGTCTTTCCTCCCTTACCCATTTGCTATCTTTGTTTTTCTGTTTTTGCTGCTTTGGATTAATGTATGCCAGTCTTTGAAGCCCGTGTTGAGAGATGTAGATGGAGAAATGAGATGGCCTGCAAGTTTATTAAATCTATACTATGGTCGCACATCTGTAAATGAGTACACCTTATTGTTATATTATTTCAAAATAGACTAAGCACTTACTTTATAGGAAAAAGCTTTGCTCTAGACCAGAACAATAGATGGTATTGGTTTTGACTACGTACGTAAGTGGGTGGCTTGTTCTTATCTCATGCAAGGGTTTTCCTTGAGACATTCAACCATCATCCCTTACATCACTTTTGGCTAGATTTTTCCAAACACATGTAGATTAGTCAAACACACACTACAAGGAAAATACCATACGATAACACGTTATTAACAACGTACATAAATTACGCGTTGTGGAATTAGATTTTCCACAATGTGTGGAAAGTGTGTGTCGTATTATACCGTTTTCAACAACTTGCATGTAGTGTGCGTTGTCAAAATGGAATTTCAGGGACATTTTAACAACGCATCCTTGCGTGTTGTTGTATCTAAAGTTCAACAACACACATCGCATGTTGTCAAAACTATATCAATTTACTACAGTAAAATGTTGGTGAAAAAACTATCCGATTTTTTTTGCGGGCTCACTTTTCAGCTTAAAATTTCAACCTTGTGCGTGTCGTGTTATACCGATTTCAACAACTTACATTTAGTGTGTGTTGTCAAAATGGAATTTCGGGAACATTTTAACAGCGCATCCTTGCGTGTTGTTGTATCTAAAGTTCAACAACACACATCGCATGTTGTTGTATCTGAAGTTCAACAACACACATCGCATGTTGTCAAAACTATATCAATTTACTACAGTAAAATGTTGGTGAGAAAACTATCCGAATTTTTTTGGGGGCTCACTTTTCAGCTTAAAATTTCAGTCTCTCTCTCAAACTCTTTTTTAATTTCGGGTCCCGCTTTTTTTTTTTTTTCCCCACTACTTTTCTAATTTGGCACCCTCTCTCACCCAAACCCTCTATCGTCCTTTGTCTCTCGTCCCCTCCCAATCTCTGAGCCTAAACCCTCACTGGCTCCCTCTCATCTAGAATCCCTTTTCCTCTTCGTTCTCAGACTTCACGCCTGCACCATTCTCTCTCTTTCTCTCTCAATCCCTTTTATATTCTCAAGATTTTAGACTAAAATTTATCCAATTGGAGAGCAAGGTGCGGAACCCTCTTCCTCTTCAAACTGATGGTTCTGAAAACTGATCGGGAAGAATCTGAACCATATCACTTCGTTCTCAACCTCTCACAGCCTCCATGCCAGGTCGATTTCCTTCCTCCCTCCTCAATTTCTGTCTGTCATACTCAGAAATCCAAAAACCCCCAAATCCCAAAAAACCGCTGCCTTCCATCCATATTGG